ATGTTTAGGTTTATGACATTCTGAAGTATTAATTATTAATAGCTGCCCAAACTTCAACTATCACTGTTTTTATTGTCATGTGGTATCATGAAAATTGCTTTAAAAATTCTTACATCATAAATTCTTTTCTGTTCTTATAATGAAATCGTGACCACATATTAATTAGGTCATAAATACTAGCCAAAATGAATGTGAGCCATACCATAGTTCCAGGCATACTTTGATGTTGCTGCAGTTTGAAAAATTTACTTATGAAGTCCTGTTCTGCCAGACATAGGGGCTCCAGTTCACTCAATACCTGTTCAAAGATCTGAAGAAAACGAAAATGATCCTATAATAAAAGAACTGCACCAAATGCTTAAAATAACATTTCAAACTTAATTCTCTTTTCTACAGGGACCATGGATCTCAATAGAATCCCAAAGACAAATTCTTCTAACATTGACAGGGCAATGCAGTATTAACAAGGTAAAACAGGGCCACAGAACATATCTAAAATAAAACTTGTAGTTATTCACTTCAAATCTGTAAAGAGGAACACAAAGTTAAACTTTTAAAACTTATTTGCTTCACAAGAGCTGTTATTTTCTCTCTACTCTGTAGTTGCTCAAACAACTTAGATTTGAGACGCAAGCACTCTATGATTTATAACAAATACATTTTAATAAAGCTTTAATGTTATTTAATTGATAATTCACATTTCAGTTGCCATTTGAGTAAGTAGTTTTTTTTTCAGATTCCATGGTTAATATTTAAGAGAGCCAAAAGAGTCCAAATCTTTCAAATCTCTGAACACACTTAAAGCAATTACAAACTGCTGCTGCTGGAAAAAGAAAACTAACGTTAATGTTTAAGAAGTACTTGTTATTTTACTTTACCTTATCAAACTTGGTTCGGTCGGCAACATCGAGATCAGAGGCAGACATATTTCCCATATCCAACAAGGAAGATGACTGAGATCTGCGACTTCCTGAACTCTGAACACTGAGTTTATTTAGACTAGAAGTAGATCCAGTTAATTTCCCTGAACTTCCATGAAGACCTAAGAAATAATAAAACTTTGAAAAGTTGTGATCTTCATGAATAAAAGATCCAGAGTATAAGTCAGGGCTATCTATCTCCTCTATCTTCTACTGGCTTGGTGTTCCAGGGCTCATATCAGTTAGTGCACAAGTCTACCACATGGGACAGGTTGTTCAGTGTCCTTATCATTCATTAATATTTGTGTTCTACTCTGAGTGTCTTATAAAGAGAAGTGAAACTACACAGATCCATGGAATAGCACTGAAAGGGACCTTAAAGGTCACATAATTTATGTCCTGCCCAGTATGATCATAAAGTTGCCTGGGGATATCGCTAGACTAGAGTAGGTGAGGATTTCTTTCCATTCAAAAGACAGGAATATGAATGAAGGTCACTGAGTACTGTTACCACACTAGCTAATATGACTTCCTTATATTTTGGAAGAAAATAGCAATATCCCAATGTTACTTGCCTCCACATTAAAACGATATATTAACTTGAACCACAGAAAACTGCCCATACTTGATTACTTTGCCTTACCAAAAAAAAGTCAATTACATTCAACTTAAGATGTTCTGAACTCAGAAACTCTGCTCTT